GGTTCCCAGGTGGGTTCATTAGCTGTCTTAACACACACCTGTAGTGTTAAGAGGTAGTAGCAGTTGAAATGAAAAGAATGCTTCTGATCCTGCTCTTTGAAAAATACAATAGGTGTGAGCTGGTTCCCCAGTATGATTTGAGACTGGGTATAGGAGTACACCGGTTTCCTACAGAGACTTCACTTGAGTGGAACAGATCCCCAGATCATTTAGGATTCTGTGAGGCAGGCCCTCCCTTTTACTGAAACAGCATCTGTTTGCCTGGTTGTGCCTCTCGTTAGTGGATCTGCCAGACCCAATTGACCTGCTTGCTTTTGGGAAGCCTCACAAAGCCACGTCTTGCAAAGCCATGTTGGCCTACAAGCTATTACAAGAAGAGACTGAGGTGGAGAACCACAGGACAACAAACAGTGTGATTTGTGTTCTAGATTTCTCCTTCCATCCCTCTCCCTCAGGAGGGCAGACAGTAATCATTGCCTGTAACACCTCTGGGTGATTAATTTAAGTGATTTAACACCTGGAGATTCACTTTCACACATAGATCGATGGTTTGGATGTTTCCTACATTATTACCCTTACAGCAATTACCTCCCACAGATATTTGCTCTTGTGCTAATGAGCCAGAAGCTATTAGCATCCACATCCACCATCTACATGTTTTACAGCTGCAGGAGGGCTCTTCCTTGGTGACCACATCTTCTGGGCAGGCAAATTTAAAATATGAATAGAAAAGTCAGTTCTGGAGGAATCTTGGGAAGAAATAAAAAAAGCAAATTGTGTTAGCATTAGGAAGAAAAGTGTACCATAAGCATGAAATCAGAGCCCAGGAGAGCAGATTCAGGCCTTTGGTGATGTGAACAGTTCTGGGATTTACCTGGTCAGTACAAATAGCTCCAGCATGAACACCCTACAAATAGAACTAGCAGGATGGTATCATTTGCACCAGTTTGCTGCGATGGCTTAAATGAGCCAACCTATATTAAACTGCTCAGCAGAGTGCTAAAAATGAGGTAAACTCTGTTTTATTATTTCTTACTAGTTAAGTAATTCAATTTCTCTTAATTGCTGCTCTGGCTTCTTCCTTTTTCACCACACCTGCATTCAGCTGAGTCCTATTTTAGTGATGTTAGTTTTCATAGCACCACCTAGCAGTTTGCTTCATATCATCCCACGGGCTCTTGCACCAAAATGCAGATTAATTTAACCCAACAGTCCAAATGTTCTCACTTACAGAAATATAAATTCAGTGAAGTGAGTTCAGATTTACTCTTAAACTGAGAGTCCAGACCATGAGAGTCAGAATTCATACTGCACAGTCTGTATTTTACAATGGCAAAGCAAGTATAGAATGGAAGGAGGTTGCATTCTTGCTCTCTTGGAAAAATTACTTCAACCCATGTCTTCAAAGAAAGAGGAAAGGACAGCATTCTCAAAGAAATCCTTGAGGAGCAGGGTGTCTGAATATTTTAGCATCTTCTCTTTTTATACATGAAATTTCTTATGTTTTATAATGCAGAAATTCTGAAAGGAAAGCACAACAATAGGGTAAATGTGAGCATCATCAAGAGGCATAACTCACAGTCTGGGATCAAGATCACTCATGTTACAAGTTGGCCTCCTTTCCCCTCAGTTCTGTGTACAACCCAGCAAACCTCTGTTCTATATCTCCACAGATGTGTCAGCATCTTGCAGTTTGTGTCTGCATCCTACTATTCAAAATGCAGCTGGTAACACTCATCAGACACTACAACAATGAAATGCAAGATAAAAGCTGTTTCTTATGCACTGTGCTACACAGGGCACCAGAGGATGGATAGCGTTGACTGTTCTTCCTTGCTTGAAAAGTCAGATGATGGCTTTATTTCTAGAGAAGGACACTAGATTAAGCTGACCATGCCATTGACACACTTTGAGAAGATGCTGTTCCTGCCCTCTGGCACAGGAATCTTGCACCTCCCCTTTCACAGGTCCTCTACAGCAGAAGACTGCAAAGTGGGGACAGACTATGGGCCAGCTCTAAAATTCCCTATGATCAAGATGTATCATGTGCCCTCCTTTTATTCAGGCCTAAATCTAATGTCACAGCCATGGATAATTGTTCCCTTCAGAAATACCAAATTCATTCATATGACCTGAACTTCTAGTGTGAAACTAAAATCTGTTGTGACACAGAAGCATTAGTGTATGAGAGATGTAGAAGCAATGTGGTTATTGCGGGGCTGTTCTTTTCTTTTTCTTTTCTTTTCTTTTCTTTTCTTTTCTTTTCTTTTCTTTTCTTTTCTTTTCTTTTCTTTTCTTTTCTTTTCTTTTCTTTTCTTTTCTTTTCTTTTCTTTTCTTTTCTTTTCTTTCTTTTCTTATTTTATTTTATTTTATTTTATTTATTTTATATTTTATTTTATTTTATTTTATTCCTTCTCAACCTCAAATTGGAAACAGAAGGGGAACGTTAACCTCCAGGTAAAGTCCATTTCGTCTGAGGTTGTATAGATCAGTAGTTTCTATCCCTAGCATTGTCAGTGTCTTAGAAACCAAATGACACACTCCCAGCCTAGCCAGAGCTGGAACACATAACCATAATGCTAAGAAAGGGCAGCTTGTCTGAATCCGTATCAAGTGTTAAAGCCAAGAGTTTCCATTAATAGTCACTGTGTGGCATAGTACATTGATTTCATCTATGGGAACATTTTCTTCCTTTCCTTCAACAGTCAAAATTTCTCAGCAGTAAAATGCTGGATCCAAGGTTTGTCCAAATATAAGCAGCAACTGATCTTTTATACCTCCTTCAGTGGCTGAACTTCAGCTGTAACACTGACTGCAGGTCTTCCAGAGCTTTTATTTTCTGTCTTGTATAATCAAGTAACATGATTTTTGTTTGTTTGTTTGTTTGTTTGTTTGTTTTGTTTGTTTGTTTTGTTTTCTGTCTCTGAAGATCCTAGAAGTGTAGCTTTCTTTTTTCTTTAAAAAATAAAAAATAAAAATAAAATTATATAAATATAACTGAACTAAAAATATTTCCTCCTCTTAGGTCTAAATGTTTTAGTTTCTGGTTAATTGGGTATTGCTTTGTCCTGGGAGAGTGAGAAAGCACAACAGGGAAGAGCTCATTTACCTTTTTTGTACTGCTCATTATTTTGTACACTTCCAGTACAATTCCCTCATTTGTCCCCTTTCAAAAGTCACTGCTTTTACAATGAGCAAACTGAACTGAAGTCATTGCCTTAGGTGAGAAAGATGCAGTGATTTGGTCACAGCATGGTTACAGACACAAACCCATTTCCAGCAACTGAAATATTTTGTTTGCTGTCAACCAAACTGTTGATGTGTACTGAGCAGACTCTTGCATTTTGCTGCAGGATGCTTAATTTCTTTCCTCCTCTGAGACAGGACCCAGGCACATGGCAACAGCAATACCTTGAGCAATCAAGCATCTGTGACTTTGATTTAGATTTATAAAGATATTTATATGCCTATAGATGAAATATCAGGCTTACTTTTCTGCAAGTTTTTATTTTTATTTTTTTTTTTTTTCCAGATATTTTTTTCCAGATATCTTAACTTTTCTCTGGTTGTTAAGAAAAGCTCAGTGCACAAGCTCTTCTTCAAATTCTCCTGTACGTGCCTCTGTACTACCTGGGTTCCTTTTAAAACGTGGTCTTCAAGTCTATATTATTGATTGCTCAATTAATTACTCTAAAAGGCTTTTTCTTTTTTTTCCTTGCAAAATGGGTGGATGGGGTTCAACAACTCTTTGGCTTGTCATTTTATGTTGGATAAGTTGAGATGATAAAATATGCTGGCAAATACCACTCCAAAAATAAAGAAGTTGTTGATCCTAATTGCTAACAGAGATGTTATCTGACGCAGCACAGAAAATGCATGTGAGATTGTTCAGTTATATTTATCTCTATTGTTAAAGTGGTTGTTCTCCTTTCTGTGCCATGGGAACTCATCTTCACCATCACAAAATGAAGTCTTTATGAATCTTTTTCATTGTTGCTTTAATGTAGGCCAGCATTTTTATAAAACTGTGTACCATCACCATTTTTATTAAACGTGAAATATTAGCTCTGAAAACTTAAATTTCAGTGGGCAGAAATCACATCATAAGGACAACGTGATGTCCTGTACCTGACATCACTTGAGACTTACCTGGATGGGAACAATAGCAAAATTTGTCCAAAACTCCATGCCAAATGAGAAATCATCGCAGTGCCACACAGCAACAGGTGCCAGATAAAATCAGCACTGAGACTCACTTCTTATCCTTTGCTAGGAATCATTAGATTAATAACTTTGAGTACAACTTTGGTATCTCCACATCAGGGGAAATTGCACCATTGACTTTCATATCCCAGGATCTTGCCTCTAAGCTCCACAAAGTTGAGGTGAGAGGATTTTCAACAGCTAGTTCCAGTCCGACATACACTGACACTGGTCTTACAAGTGCTTCCCTAAGCATTTTCCTTTTGTTCGTTCTGCACTGTAATCTTTTGGGCACAGCACAGTTGGATATTCGATGAAGGTTCATACTTCACTCTGCACATACTTTTGTCAAAAAAGCTTTTATTGCAATGCAAAATATCTTCTGTATATGACATCTTTCTTCCCCCAACCCCCTTAAATTTAATGAGTAATCCTTTCTGGGTTTGTACATTGTGATTCTTGTGTGTATGTATGAATATATATACATATCTATATATCTATCAATCTATAGATATTATATTAATACAATCATATATAAATCTGGACCTATATCATTTTATATATATACACATAGCACTGGATATGTGTGTGTGTGCATATACATATATATACACTATATATACACTATATGCACATATATGCACACACATACATATTGTATAATCATAAACATCTGTTGGTTGTCAAGGGACTTTTCTTTAACAAAATAGGTTCCATCAGTGGATTTTACTTCTGTAGTGCAATTTTACAGGAAGTTAACATTTCCACATTCAATATAAAAGAAACAATATACATTTGAAAACGTGCCATAGGATTTTTAATGAAAAAATTAGAAAAGTGCATTATTTTACAACACTACAGTAAATGATTCTTTTTTTTTTTCTCTGTAAAGACATTGTAAAATATATACAGGGTTGCTTAGTGCATTCATTACAAAAGAAAGATGCAATCCCTTGCATAAATTACATATTGTACAGGGGTTCGCTGTCTACTTGGACTTGTAAACATTTGTGTGATACAGTTTTCATTCTTTATATAAGCTGCAATACATCTTATTTTCATTTGACTGTTGTTGCATTCTAACTCCAGTACGGCATTCTAAGGCCATGTGTGAAGGCATCCTCTCCCGTTATGGAGAAGGCCAGAAAAAGAAATGAAAACACAAAAACATCTTTAATTTGGTTCTCTGTAATCAAGTTATCACTGATTTAACAAATCACATCTTGATGCTTATGACCTGCTCTTTCTCCTTTACTAGGACCAGCTCAACAACTATGTTGATGTTAGAGGTCTGAAATGAGCAGAGAAAACTGCTTCCAGGAGGTAAATTCTCAGTGCAGTCCACAGCCAAGCAGCTAAAGTGCTTCTCTTTCTAGAAGACCATGCTCCTAATGATCTGTGTGCTGCACAGAAAATGTATCAACCAGGGCAGAAATTTAGAGAGTTTTGCTCTATCTCAGGCTGTTGAGGGCCTTTAGAATGCCGTCAGTATACCATCGGTAAGTCCGCATATGCACATTCAAAGAAGTACAAAAATGCACCAAAAAGTGTCAAGAGATCCAAAAGAGACATAGCATCAACACACACTCACAAACACACACATACACACACGCTTCTGCCTGAGCAGGAAGGCTCAGTCTCCAAAGTAGGAATCACAATTTAATTTCAACATGTATGTGTGTTTGGAAGAAATCCAAGAATTTCCATATAAACTCCTTAGGTCCCAAATTGAACACTTTTATCCCTGTTTCTCATAGATGAACAGTTTGTTGAAGAAATTGCACCTTGAAGAGACAGTATCCACATTCTTTTGGCCTACTGGAAACAATTTTTAAGCCCCCCTCCCATTCCCCATTGACCTATCCAGCTCCAAATAATTTCCTTTGCCATCATATCACTAGGATCAAAAGTTTTAGTCAATACTCCTCAATGGCAACAAACAGACACACAAATCTTAACAAGTCAAGGGAAGAGGAAAAAGAAAACATTTTTTTCCTTCCACAGTTCACTCCTGACCTTGCAGTAAAGTAACAGCTGGATTATTGGTTGTATAGCATATTATAAGAAATTTACATTCTGTAAAGAAATACAGATTAGGTTTGCATTGTAAAGAATGATACAGTCTCTCATTGTTTCTGCTTATTAGCTTGTTAAAAAAGTTAGTAGTAGACAGGACTCTTTCTGGAACATATACCAGTTCTTTTTTCATGGGTTCAACCCAAGAATACTGACACCCAAACTAATTTTGGGTGGACTAACCAAATTTGTTAATATTAAAGACTAAAAGAGAGGTTCCCGGAGTGGTCCCCAGGAAATGACTTAATAAAGCCTACTGCTAGAGCAGCAGAGTCTCAACCCTCTTGGAACCTGGACATTTGGATCTCCATCTTGTTATGCAGTCAGCGTGCGTATCCTCCAGTATCCACAAAATATTCCTGCACTGACAACTTATACAGAAATTATATGACACAATATAAATGCAGCTGAACAGTCAAAAAGGAGGTAAACTGGCAAGAGGAGATCACTGAGTTGTGTTGAGCATACCAGCAAGTGGTGACCACACCAGACTCTGTAGCTCTAATCTTCACAGGAGAATTGAAACAGCATAGTATCAACCACGAAGAGACATTTCCTACTGCTGCCTCTGACTGCAGTATAGAATTGAAAAAATATGCTAAGAAGGAGCAATGTGATAACCATCTTTGCTAGAAAATGTGTGTGACAGGAATTCTACAAAGAAAAGAGATGGAAAGAGATGTCACTGAAGAACAACTGGGGCTGAGATGCTGACGAATGTGAAAGGAGTGTCCAGTGAAAATAAAAAAGAAATCACAACTAACTGGGCATTTTTAAAAGGATCTCACAAGTCTCTTCAATCCTGTGTTCCCTTAGCCAATCCTTTGGCAAAACTGTAGCTTACCAGGGCAAGGAGAAGAATGTTCCAGTAGCCCTGACCACAATGAATAGCTGTGAGCTGCCCAACAGACCCATCTGGATGACTTGCAAAAAGAAGAAACGAGATGTGCCCACGTCACTGTTCAGAAGGGGCTCTCAGAAGAACAAATCATAGAGATTAGAGAAGGGTACTAAATCCCTTAAAGGAAACACTAGAAGAAATGGATATAGAGCTCTCTCAAAGCTCTGCCACCAACACAACAGAAACTCTGGCTTCTTAGTGACGTTGAGAAGATTTGATTTAATTTCATCTAACAGGTGTAGTGCCGCAAGAGAAGTCACATTATACCTATTCCAATGACTGCCCTGAGTCATTTATTGAAATCCAAGCTCAAACGAGGAAAAAAAAAGATGAAAAGATAAACATTAATCTGCCTCCTCTTATTTTTCAAAGTACAGATTGCTTGTGGTTTTTTTTTCCCCCTTTTACAGAATGTTGCAACACATTTTTCGAAGTTGAACACACAGCAATGAGACCCACCATGCACTAGTTTCATGGTCCTAGACAGACCCTTTCTTATTAAAATCTTTGCAACACCTGTGAAGGGGGTAAGCAGTATTATTCATATTTTACAAAAGAGATGCAGATGGCCCTAGTCTTGGTTTCCAAGGAGAATGCTGCCCTGAGCTCTTGCCCAGTGCATAAGCTAGAAATTAATCCTGTCCTCCTTCTCCCTCACCCAGAGGACAGGCAGAAATCAACTCCGTTGCTCTGCCTTCTGTAATCCTTGCTCAGACAGGGGTTGGGAGAAGGATATGCCATAGCATCAGCTCCCTCATCAACCCAGCTTGTGATGGAGAAACTCAGCTGCACCTTCTCCATTCCGCTGGTGGTCCAGACGTGTTTGCACATACATCCAGCAACCCATCCCTGTGCTCATCCCTGCCTTGCTGCCAACTTGGGGCTCTCTCTTCAAAGCACAATCCTTCCCAGACAACACAGCTGAGACCCTTTGGCCATGCTGCAAATGGCCAAATGGGTACCAGAACCATGCTCCATCCTGAAATACAACCTCTTACAGATCACCTGGGTCATGCCATCTCTCTAAGACACACCACTGGTTCTTTTCTCTACAAGTAAGAGAAAACTCAGGCTCAAAGCCTACCACAAAGACATTTAAGCACCTATTTAGTTCAGTGGGAATTGAGGGCCTAGCTCCGTATACTAGATCTGAGCTAAAATCCTTTCCCCAGACACTTCCAGTCAACGTGCCAAGATGATGCTTGTCAGCAGGACAACGTGGCATGACCTCCATGTCTGCAGTGCCACTACTGAGCAGGCCTTTTGGAAATCATTTTGTAGACTTCAGATTTCAGACTCTGGGAGGCCAAAATCATTTACACACTGTACTTCAGCTAATCTAATTAAATAGTGTTATCAAATTAATTAGCGTCTTAACAATAATTATGATTAAGGAGCTGCATACCAGTGCTGCAGGGAGAGAGAGTGCAATAAGGAATTACCATTATTTCTCAAAAGGTCAATTTTGATTATGTTTGGACACGAAGGAACTGTCCAAACACAGTCAATACAAAAAGGCTGTACCACGACCTCCCAAACCCAGCTGGAGCAGCTTAGCATTTCCCACACATTTCTACAAAACAACTCTGGGATATAATATCACAGATGGGCAAGGAGACCCCAGTCCAAGCCTTTCTGAGCAGTACAGATTTGCCACAGGCAATAGGGAGGATGGTGCAACTGATCTCTTCCAGAAACAGGAGAGGAAGAGGCTCTAGAAGACACAATTTTTGCTGCTCCCTGTTCAACATCAACATCAGTATTGTGGTCTCACTAATGACAATCCACTCTACCATGACCCTGTTATGCTTCATCCTGCCCACATCTCCTGTGACTCTTGCCTGGGAGGATGATGGCAGATGGATAGCAAACAGGCTACACCCAGAAGACCCATGGCTTGTCCTTAATTTGAAACAACACCACAGACCTTACCAATGATCTACAGACAACAAGTAAACCACTGCATCTCTTTGCAAGCTCAGATCATCTGTGCTTTCTGCTAGTGCTCAGGCCTTCCCCCAGACAAACACCCCCAAACTCTCCTCCCAGGCCAATATGTTGCATCCCAGCTAGGGTACAAGTGGATTTCACCCTTGCAGGTTTGTGCACTTTGCATTTCCTATTTGATTCCCCGCATATTGTTTTTAATCAATCTGTAGATTTCTTTTGTCAGTAGTAATTAGAGTGGAACATTTCCTTCCCCAGGGTGCAGTTCTGTAGCATAATGCTTTTCATTAATACATGATAGGGGAAAGTACAGAATGTGGTGATCTTGGGTTTGAGCATACGTTTACGAAATGGCAAGCTAATGAGTTAATGTCTGGGTAGAGAATGGGGAGGGCGTATGGAGAAAGCCGGAGGGCCACTGTCTGTGCAATGGATCTTCCTTCTAGCCTCAAGTGTAGTGCTCTGGATAGAGCAATTACTGCAAGCTGTTCCACAGACCAGATAAACGATGAATCAAAGCCAGGCTAGCGGTATCAGAACTCATGCATGAGGAAGATGCATTATAGAGCATAGTTTCAATTATTATATTTGCTAGCTTCACTTGTGAATTAGCCAGCTATGATAAATGTTATCATGCTGCTGTTTGCTCTGCATTTCTCAAAGTGAACTAAAACATGACAGAGCTTGGAACTGTGAATATTAATTACCAATAAAATTGCAGCATTAATCTCTCTTTTCTCTCTCTTTTTTTTTTTTCTTTCCTTATCATCTGTTGTATTAATATATGGCAGCAATCCTTACATGGTCAGAAAGGAAGGTGAGGGAAGGCTCTGGGATATTTCTTAATTACAATATTCACAAAAGGAGAGAAAATTGAAGGCTGAAGACCCCAAAGATAATATTTACAGCCTAAAATTAGCAGAAAGCTTTGGTTGCCTGGATTCCAACAAGAAAAATACAGTCACATAAGTTATACACGTTGACTGCTGTCTTCAGGTCTTTCTACTCTCACCATTAAGTTTAGGAAAATTTGTTCACGGCAAGCACTAGTTGAAGATACAGATATCATATCTAAGAGTTAAATAGAGGCTCACATTCTAATTTCAGTGGCGTGTAAATCTGGACTCGTTGTATTGCACCCAAATCAGTTAGGTTACCATATTGGAAAAGTGCATGAGAAAAAATTAGCCCTCAGCACTTTCATTTCTCTGTAGCTTACCAATTCACAGCAATATAAAGCCACCAGCTTCAGAGAACAGTCCAGCAAGGGTCAGCTCAGCAGCTGCAATATCCACCAAGGACATGAGCAAAACCAACCATCACGCATTTACCGTGTCTGCATTCTCCAGTGTGCACAAGGAGTAACTTTGTGGAGCTCCCAGTGTAAAGAAGATGCAAATGCTGAAAGCTCCTTAATTTAAAGCTTTGTGTTGGACTTTCCCCCAAAGGAATACTGCTGTGTACATGTACATGACTTGGAAATTTGTGCGAAGAACAATACTGTTTGACTGAGAATCAGTCAGACTGGTTGCAGAAGCCCCTTAAGGGAAAAGCCGAAAATGAGATCACTGAAAATTTTCCAAAGAAATGAAAGACTTAGGGACAGTCTGAATAAGTTTAGCTTTAGTACAGCTTCTGCTGGCTTCAGAGAAGGTCCTGCCACTACAGACTCTACAGAGTAGCTAAGAGTTTGCTTACATCCCACTGAGCCCTTCTTTCACTTAGGAGCACTAGTATAAGAAAACATAATCACTAGCAAAATATATCACAGGGATCCCTCCACTTTTCAGGATGGGCTGGCTGAATAATGTCTTGGTTTCAACAAAGGCAGCAGCAAAAACCTAACCGGAGAATCAGGAGCACCATGAATCTCATCAGCAGTAACCATTGAAATACTGTCAGTGCTGGACTGCACAACACCTTTAAATCAAATATATCTCCAGGAGGTCTGCAGGAGTGAAGACGCCTCCATGGAGCCCAATTTCATTGTCCTGAACACTTCTCTGTGATCACCCAAAGCAGCACATCAGCTCTCCAGTTCCTGACATACTTAGATATGGGTTGGGAAATGGGTGTGGTGAAGTGTCAACAAGATAATTGTTGACAGTTATCAGCAGTTATCAATTGTTGATAATGCTTAGGCTAATAAAACTAAGTATAAACCATATCTGAGCAGAGAGCATCTCCCAGACTAATTCTACCCAGATAAAAACACAACAGGCTTCAGTATCACCTCACTGTGGTTTCGACTGGAAATAACATTAAGTACTCTTCCTGTTGAGAACATTTTTTTTTTTGCCTTGCTACTACTTATACGGGCGAAAGTTCTGCTGCCATGTTCATTATCTACATCTTAAATAATTGCAAACTGCATTTTGGCAAAGGCTCCCGTCAGTTTTCATGGCTATAATTCAGTCTCTGAGCTCAGATTAACTAGCGTAAGAGTCCCAGAGTGCCTTCCATCTGTAATCAATTTCTCTGTGTCCAATGTCATTATTCTATTTATTTTGAGTTTGGTGCATCATTATGATGTCTAATCCTTTTCATATGGTTTATCTTGCTGAAGTTCCCAAAATAAAGTTTGATATTAAAGTTAGATGACAGGCAGGCTGGTTAGAAAGGCAATATTTCTTTTTCAATTCTGTGAGCATTATGCACTTCTAGTTGATGAAAGTAGTTGTGGTGTGATTTTCATTGTAATTTGTGCAATATTCCAGTCAATAATAGTGTCTTGTTGAAATATGCATTAAAAAGTCCATAACATTACTGTAATGGACACACTCCAACACGTCTCTCTGGTCTGGCTTCCTCATAAAGATTTTAAATGACTGTCTTAATTGGATCCTAATATTAACAGGAATATTACATAAAGCTAAATGAGGACATAAACTTCAACAGAAAGCTACTTCAACCCAAGCCCCTGCCCTCTGGTCTGCACACACCAAATCATTCTGGAACACTTCCCTTCTTCATCCTGGTTCCACTGACCGCTCTTTTTAAAGCTTTTAGCAACAAATGAGTCATTTTTCCACATCAAAAAACTTCACATTTGTCAGAGAAAACATGAAATTACCTTGCTTAAGTTGAATATGCAATTATCTTGATTATTTCCCTGGAATTTCTTTGATCGAAGCATAGGAAGCTAATGAAACCATCTACATTACAGTAGATATTACAGGAGATTAACTCAGTCACTTCCCTATTTACTTATTTTTTTTTAATGTTGCTAATGTTGTTCTAATAAGCTATTACAGAGGAATCCAAACTGAGATCTATTGCTGAGGATCACTGTCCATCTTCTCTATTCATTAACAACCAAGAACCTATTTGGAATCCTTCATCCAGACATCATCATGTAACATCCAGACACCTCTTCCAAAGATGTCCCCTTCATTCTTGTAAAGCACAAATATGTACAAAGTTCTGGTGAAGCAGCCCCAGTTAGACCAGTTGTGATCTTCCTTATGCAGTAATGAAGAGCAAGAAGAGTTGTGCCTGTGTGGCTCTATTGTTTCCTCTTTCGTTTCCATATCACAGCATGCTCAGTCAAAGCTATTTTGGTGCTTCACTGATCAAACTGATTTTTTCCTTTGATGATAATATGAAATATGATAGGATAATGGGGTTGTTATATAATCAAAGTCGACAGCAGGGAGCTAAATTTGTGTTGTTTTGATGAACAGCACATTAGTGTGACATAAATAGATTAATCTGATTTATTATTATTATTTCGAATGCTTAATAATAGGGGAAATGAGACTCTGGGGAATGGGAGTGCATCACAAAGCGATAGCAAAAGTCTCTGTGCTATGGAAACATAGATTAGGTATTTTGGATATTAGAATGTATTGTCATAAGTGGCACCACTACTACCTGCTTCAATCTCAAAATTTAAAGAAAATAGCTGTATTTCGAAAGAGTGAGTAGAAAGCAAGAAAAGCTGTTCTTAAAGAACTAGTATCTTAAGTAGAATAGAATAGTAACGTACCAAAGAAAATATGCCATGAAAAGTGGCATTGGAGGGAAAGATGGTAGGGCAGTAAGTAGCCAGAGATGGAGCAGACAAAAATCAGCTCAACTTTCACGGACTGATTTTGCATGTTTTAGTGAAAAGCTGGGGTTAACTTTGGACAAAAGCTACTCTTTCCAAGATACTGCATGTTCCAGTTACAAACAGATCAAGTCAAGATTTGTGCATCAGTCAAAAACCACAAAAACAACAAGAGAGAAGCATTTTCAGCATATTTTGCTTGGTTTACTGATGTGTGCGCACAGGAGTTCTTGTATTTGTGTATGCTCACAAAGAAAAGTCCTGCAGGAGCTCATACAAGTGTCTGAATGTATTGAGGCTTGCAAAGGAAATGCCTTGCCACTTTAAAATCGTATGTGCACCAAAAATATAGACTGGACAGAATTGTGAATTCTTCAGGCAGAAGGTAAAAATAAATTTTAAATATTTTTAAATCTTAATGAATGCAGACATATTTTCCAAAATGCTTTCCAACATACAAACTCCCTACATCCTTTAGACTCAGAAGTATCACTACAAACATCTACTCTGGCTCCATCATATCAACACATGTAGATTTCTTCAACCAAATCCATAAACTTTGACTAAATTAAACTAGAGTTTTTAGAAAGACAATCAATTTTAATGTAAAGATTAAGCGGCAGACAACCTATGACCCCCTAGGTAAGTTCCTCCCCTGGTTAAAATACCCCCTGTGCTAAAATTTACCCTTCATTTAACTTAATTTATGGTTCCAGAGGGGAAATTAAGTAACAAATCAGCTAGAACATGTAACAGCTTTGAATATCTGGAGTTCAAGAAGAAGACTGTTTATAGAACATTCAAAATTATTTTATATGCAGCAGAAATAGAATTTTCCTCTTTTCTTAAAGAAAATAAAAAAAAGCTAACCAATGCTTTTTAAAATACAACTTCGTTTTTCACAAAACTGTTCAAAGTTTTGGCTCAAAGTCCTGTTACAAAAGTTCATCTTTAATAGGCAGATAGAATTTCACCCTCCTGAAATCTGCAAAATCCCAGATTTTTCCTGCTTTACCCCAGTGTCAAACATACCCAGCACTTGTACATGATACAGATACGTACATATTTTTTCTAATCTCCTTAGCAAGAAAAAAAAACCTACAATTATTTGCAGTCCTGGGATGCCATCAGCAATGGCACTATGAAAGTGAATTTTGACAGCATGGTGAACCCTATGGGCCACCCTCCAGAAACCATATTCTAGATAGTTTTCACAGGGGTTGTTTAATACATCCTGAAACTGCTTTTCTAGGTATACTTGCTCCAACACTTTTGCCATCAGCATTTGCCTTAGGTCATGGTAACAGCAGCACATCATTAATGCACCCAGCTTGCTCTCTTACTATGCTGAAAGATGTTATACCCACATGTTAGGCTGAAAAAGTCCATCTCATCTACTCTCATTAAGAATTATAAGCTAATTTTTCATTCATTTTAAAGGATTTTTGCATGCCAGAGCAATTTAAAATCCCAAAAGAAGTTGCATAGGGAAGTCAAAGTTATTTCATTTACTCATTGAAATAAATATCAAAATCAGGGAGAACATGAAGATATTTGATATAGCTAGTCATTTAAAGTCAGGGAGAAAAGAGAAGGAAGGACATTCCTTCTTTCTCCCTATTAATGCTCTCTATAGATGCCTCTTTGATAGTGTATCAACATCCATCAGCACACAGAGCTTAGAGCTGGGGTTTGTGTGAAAACAGACCATCTACTTCAATATATATATATATAAAAGGAGGATTATTGCTTTTACAATGAAAGCACAAAATGGTAGAATCAGCAGGAAGTGATTAGTGCCAAAAAAAGATGGGTTTTGTATGGCGAATTAACATGGAAGGCAATTTAAAAGATAGGATTAAATCAGAGACAATGGTGCAGGTTTGTAAAATTCCCAGTCCTACCGCCGTCAAATTAAAGATAAATCTCCCAAAGCACTAAATCTCATGTAATCATTGCAAATTCCTATTGTCTTAAAAGGGAGCTGGATTAGGCCTCTAATTTGGTTCTGTAAAGTCTGTTTGGTCCGGATGAACAACTGAGCAAAGGACAATTTCCAAGGAACAACTCTACAACTTGGTCTCAACATCATCTACTACAGCTTGCCAATGCAATCACTCCCAATGTTACCCTCTAAACACTGGAGTAAAACTGCTTTTGCCCATTACTGCTAAATGCATTTTGCCTTTCTGCCTAGCAAAAAAGCAATATCACATCTAATCTCACAAGTTCCCAGTGAGCCAAACACAAGATACTGTCCCTTGAATTCTTCCTGAGACCAACAAAGGCTTTCCATTATTTACAAATCAAAAGCATTTAGAGACAATCATCTTTATTTTTTTTATTTAAAACAAGGAATGCCCTGTCACTATTATATAAGAAAAAATATACATCCACCTATTTATACCCATCCTAATCCAAGCATTCAAAAAAATATATAATTCCTATTCATGCAGGTAATTACTGCACAATAAAATAATAATAAAATAATAATATTTTTTATAAATAAAATAAAAACAACAAAATACACTCTGTAGTTCCAACAATTCTCCCAATTGATCTTAAAAAAAATCCACTTGCAAATTGTTGGAACAGTTTCAAATGATGAAAGTAAATATAGTTAAATCAACAGGATTACTTGCTTTTGATTATTAATTCCATTGCTAGTTTTTCTTGTGTTTTTATTATGCATACCAGTTTTACAAAGTGCATGCTTTATTTTATTTTATTTTTTTTAAATTTTGAACTGGCAAGCTAAAATGATCCATCGTTTCCTGCCTTTTTGTAATGTTAATACAATCTAAAATCTAGCATTAAAAAAATTTATCATGATACACCTGGTATATTGACTGCTTATGGCGCATGCTTGTCTTGGCAAAAAAGGAAACAAATTGGCTCCCCTCCCCACCTCCCCATTCTTTTTGGAAGCAATCTAAAAAGTTAAAAGCAGGCTGGAACACAATTGCCTCAAGGGAAAAAAAAAATAATACCTGATGCTTTAATTTTGTCACATGGCACTAGTTGTGGAATTGCACGCGCACACACCCACCCACACGCACCCAACACGCACGCAAGCACGCACGCTGCAACCTGCTCGTGAGGAAAATAGTTTATTAGGTCAGGAGTGCCAGTGGCACATGAAGGCTCCCAGCTGTGTGTGCAACTTTGGATTTGGTACCAACTTCACGTCACCTTGAATCCTCTGACATCCACCGAGGGGGTAATGTAAGGCATACTTTGCTGGAACAGTAATAATCCATGCTTCATGCTCAAGAGCTGAGTCTCAGAGGAGGACTGGCTTTCTCTACTCCCTTCGGCCTCGCTCCGTCTCACTCAAGGAAAACAACAAAACAAACGAAAAAAACATAACAAAATAAAACAACAGAGAAGAACTGGGGAAAACAAGGAAAGCAAAAGAAGACAAATCACTTTAAATGGACTTTCGCCTTCTCATCAGCCTGTGGTTATCTGTAAAGCTGTGCAACCCAGGTGAGATGGAGCTGACAGGAGATGGGAAAAGGCTGTTTTTTAATGTGCTTGGCGAGATCTCCTCTATCTTGTAAGAGATGGAGTGAAAGTACTGGGGGTTCAGCTTCGAGCTGAACGAATTTTGGTGGGACACCACCCGGCTGGTGTACTCGTGGGACCTGTAACACATGCAGGAACAAACTGACTGAAGGTCTGTTACTTCGGCCTTGTACCGCGGCCGACCATGCTGGGAGTCCTCTTGGATGTGGATAATCATGCTGTTGCGGTTCCCTGCCAGGGACGCCCGTTCCTCGGCATCCCGCCTCTCGTCCTCGCTGTTCATGGTTAAGAACCTGAGAACAACCAGATTTAGAAATGCCCCAATGACTGTCAACCCCACTAGAATGTACATAAAGCTAAAAGCCACGTAGAGAGGCTTCTTTTGAAGGGCCCCTTTGGTCTGCAGGGCCACATAGTCTCCAAAACCTATCGTAGTCAATGTTATAAAGCAGTAATAGTAAGCATGGAAAAAGCTCCATTCCTCATACTGGGAAAAGGCTGCTGCTCCAATGCAGAGTGTCCCCATGCAGGAGAAGAAACCCACAGTGACCATGTTTTCCATGGAGACCTCAGTGCTCCTCATCCCACAGCACTTTTTGATGCGTTTCAAGAGGTACTTGACGAAGGTGTTCATGCGCTCGCCCAAGCTCTGGAACATGACGAGTGTCAGTGGGATCCCCAGGACTGCGTAGAACATGCAAAAGGCCTTCCCCGCGTCCGTTCCTGGGGCAGCATGTCCATAACCTGAGAGGGGGAACGAAAAGACAGGAGAATCAGCAAGGCAGGTGGTTACCACAGCTCCCTTCCCACACAGGCCACGTGAATCGCGGTGACTCCAGAGCTGTGGCCAGATCCAAGGCTCCAGTGGCTACAAGGACATCGCGGTCACAGGATCTTCCTATCTCCTTGCTCACATCCTGTATTTGAAGCAAATACGACAGAAAAACTGAGTTGTATACGCAGGACTAAGAAAGACAAAAGAACAAGCAATCCATCTTACTTCAAATAGCTGCAAAATCCTAAACATTGCTTCCATTTGCTGAAGAAATTTCACGTCCATCCTGCATCACTTGAGGTATTGAAAACTTTGCAAATAGGTGGCCTCCTCCACATTTTTGACAGGGGTTGGTATAGCCCTATACCAAAACCAGAGTACACTGATGACATCTAAATTCTGTGTCTGCTGGCAACAAGGAGTTAATGACATCCACAGAAACACTGATCAATGGAAGTCTTTTTAAAATTGTCTTCTTTACAGAACAAACCTTTCCTATAGGCACCCTTCTGAAAGCCACTCACTGCTGGAACACCATGGGATTTTAGGGGGTTTAATACCTGCTGCAACTTTAATTACCAAAGAGTAAAGAACTTACCAGCTTCTCTTACAGTTTTACAGCTTTTTCAGCCAGGCTAGGAAAGACACTTTTGCCATGATGCTAAACTAATCCAGGACAGAGGATGTAGCATGTTTCATAGCATAGCTTACAGAAAGTAAAATCACAGCTAAACCTTCACTCTAAATCAAACAGCAAATGTAGAGGTTTCTATTTCAAAATGTTAATTTCAATTTTTCACATCACATTGCCTTAGAAATCTACATTTCTTACAGTTAAGATTGCAAGTGACAGTACCAAAGTCTCCAAAATAGGATGTCTGCAAGTAGCCTGGCCGTGGTACACATTCACCATGTGGGTAGCACTATCTAGGTTCCCATTAAAGTCAATGAATAGAAATCTGAACTTCTCAAGTGCAGTACATCCCATCTACACCTAGATATCTAAAACAGGTCACTAAGTTATTCTCAGGAGCCACATATTTCTCTGCAGTGATTATAACAGAAATCTCAGGACTGACCTCAGTTCAAGATTAATATGCATAAATCTAGGTATCTACATGTGTGCTAGGTGTCCAAGCTCCCTTTATAGTCAACAAAGATTTAATGAAAACAGGCAGCAGCGAGTTATTTAACTGCAATTCCAGCATCTGTCTACCTTATGCTGAACTGAAATGACAGTACTGGCTGCTCCATTGACTGACTGAATATCTGCTGACTACGGAAGAATTTAGACATCTACTGCACAGGTAGACAACTACATGGACACAGCCAAATGTGGGCACCACTCTGTGCAGACCATTCCCCTCCTGCTGCCCCAGCCCTGTACCTCACTGCTAGGCTCGAGTTATGGACCTGCTGATCTGAAGCTGCCAAATCCTTTTTTTTAACCCCTTGACACTACCTACCTCCCCGACCTCCTGCGGCAACAGACGCCAGAAGTGCACTCTCTTCTGTGTAAGAAAGTACTTTTTAATTTTAAGCAGATCTCCTTGTTTCAGCTAGTGCCCCTTTGTCCCACAGTCTGATAACTTCAGCTAACCCCAGCTGTATTCCTGACCTCAGTTTTCGCCTGTCTGAAGTTGAGGTGCAGAGACCAGAACTCCACAAAACCCTCAGGACGTGGGCACACCACAAAGTCTGCAGTTTTGCTAGAACACCAGACAACCTTCAAAAAGAAAAGCAACAAAAAAGCAAAGAAAATAAGATGAATGAACCAGCAAGAATGCCTTCCAAAAGAAACGTACTTACTTCCTTAGCTCAGATGTTAGCTGTTGGCAAATGGATAGGATGTAGGCACTAGTTTGAAAAGGGAATACATAAATCAAAAAAGGAAGTTATTTGCAGGTTACAAAACAAATAGATTCACCTGTTCTATTGAGGAAAATACCCTGTTTATTACAAAAAAAAAAAAAAAAAAAAAAGGCAGTTTCCAAATTACCTGCAAGGGGAAGTGTCTTCCATAGACTGATGCTGGATTTGTTCCACCTGACTGTCCCTCAATAAAGGCTATAATTGCCTCTCATTACTAAGATCAGCTTTTGAACTACAGGGGTGTTAATTAAACCAGGGACATCTTCCCATTTTATAGCTTTAGTTACAGCTGATAAAGAGAAGGAAAGTTTCAGAAAATGTGATTTTCCAGATGGTTACAGAGATGGCAGTTGGTGGAAACAGCTTTCACTTTGGGTTCTAAAGAAAAGGGCTGGGGTGAAAAAAGACTTCTTTTGATATCATTATATCCCTCTCACTAAAGATATCCACAGAGACAGTTTAGGGAGATTATAAAACATTAATATTATATGCTTAGACACTATCTCACAATTGAATTTCTAAGATTCGTCACAGACTTTGTAATTAACTCAAACTCAGTTCTCTTGAGATAGGAATATACTCACATCCCTGTTTTACAGATAGCGAAGCAGAGACACAGGCAGGCTATAATTTTTCTCTAATAAGTAGACAAAAAATCCAGAAATTCAAATTTCTATTCTGCCCCGTGTCATACTTAGTTACCACAATATCAGGTACATGCCTTTTACCATTTTTCGACCATGAAGCTGGGGAATAGAAAGAACTTTATTCATAAAGCTGGAATAAGGCCTTGCAAATAGATTCATGTATAGGGAATCAGAGAAATATATCTCTCCAGTGCAATGCAGCTTTATGGAATAGTCACCTTAGTCATTGCCTTCAGCAAAAATGAAGGGTTTCAAAATACACAAAAGACAGAGTAAATTCTCCTTTAATTTAGCCATACAAAATCTGTCCAGTAATACACAGAACAATATATGAAAAGCAAGCTCCACCAGGGCATGCTCTCTGAAATTCAGTAAATCTCAAATTTAAAACAAAACCCTGTCTTCTTAACATCAGAAAGGACCTCTGGGAAAAATGAGAAGGTCAATAATTGCCACAAGAAGAGGGGCAGAGAGAATCATTAAGCCTGGAAAATAGCCCTCCACAGTGCATAAGGTCAGCCTCCAAGTAGTTGGGTTTTACTTGTGCCAAGGAAAGACAGAAGCAAAAGTAACTGCTTTGGTAGCAGACTTCAGCCTCCAAAATTCAGCCTAACTTCTTCCACACGAATGTCACTGCCCTTTGCCAGAGTATCAAAAGAAGTCTCCATATGAACCATAACAAGTGGGAGACTTAAAGAGAAATACAGAGGTTAAACATGACATTGGTATTTCTCACTCTTTGGTGACTACGAAGAAAGATCAAACAGAAGTCCTTTAAAAGTAGGTAAAGCAAATGCATCCCCTAGCAAGCCAAGAGATTGAGATAACAGGAAGAAAAATATATGTAGAGCTTTAAATTGAGTCATCCCTAGGTAAACACTACCTATACTACTCTAGTGCTCTATCCAGTTTGCTCAGGTCCCACAATACAATATTATGACCACAGCAGGCAGATTTGTCCTATATTCAATGAGATATCATTTGAATGGTCAATGACAGTCTAAATAACTTTCACCTTGATTGGAAATGATGTCATGAGTAGTCTCTTTCTCTTTTATAATCCCTCTCAATTGCTTTGACTTTCAAGACAGAACTCATCTGGTTTGGCATGAAGACGAATCGTTTGGCATGAAGAAATGTCATGCCTCAGAGTGTTATTCCAATTCTGGAGTACAGAGCACCAATCCACCACAGTTATAGGAGAGCTGTGCTACAGACATCTAACAGAACTGCAGGAAGGTGTGGGCAAGAGAGTCAAAGGATAAGAGCATGATTTGATTTCACTGGTTTTAGTAATGCATAATGGATATCTCTCCCATGAGCTTGGGCTTTCCCCCTTGAACCTATATAAACTTTCAGCACCTGCAGCACCCTGTAGAAAGAAAGTCCATAGATAAACCATATCATCTTTTTAAAAATCACCATCACTTCTTTATTTCTCTCGTGTAGCTGTAGTTATTTTTATAACTTCTCTCCCACTACTATCCCTTGAAGCCCAATCTCCCCTATGGAAGAGACCAGGAACAGTCATTCCCTCCTAACCTTCTTTGTGCCACTCATGATTTTATGGAACTTCTCAACACAAACGCCATGCCTTACTAGCTTGTGCTCTGGCACTAAGCAAATATCTCTGGCACTGCACAGCCTCATGTGGGCCGACCAGCTTGCTAAGATGTACATCAGTGATCTTTGCACCACGCTCAGCTGCAGGGTATAGACAGGCCCCTGAAGTCTGTCTTGTCCTCCAATACAAACACTTTGCTTCTAGAGCGAAAAGGGTCTGCATAAACAATGCCATGCTATTGCAGTGGTGCAGACCACCCAGAATAAGTGAATACATAACAAAGATAACGCATTAGCAGGAAAAATCCTGAATATTTTCAGTATGTTGCATTTACACAGTAACCATGTCTAAGACTGCAAAGTGATTCCTACACTGGAAAAAGGGACGTTTTCCAGCACCAACCCATGATTATCCATGATGTTAAATCAGGCTTTAGCCTGATTAACGTCATGGCTTTAGCCTGGACTAGCCATTACTGTCCAGGCAATGCCCATGCCTTTTGTACCCATGGAGGTTAACTCTACACAGGGACCACTGTAGCCCAGTACCACTCTGAAGTTGTAGAGGTGTTCAGCTCTTCCTGGCACTCTCCATGCCATAAGGTTTAGATGTCTTGAATCTTGAAGCAACATTGTGTTCTTCATGAGGGACATTTTATTTCCTTCTGGAGTAGGTTTTTCTGTTCGTTCATCTACGCATCATTCATCCCCATGACAGACATTTGGGCCTGGTTGTCTTTGTCAACAGCCTCCAGAAAGAAATGAACTACTCCATCCCCATGACTCAATCCTTTCTTACTCATGCTGGCAGCAACTCTGGGTGTGAGATAACAAAAAAAAAAAAAAGGATAATGGCACCTGTTCCTCAGATGGGCAAGCACAATTCA